CCCCCGCAAAAAAAACCCACACAGCCCCGAATCCAATAGTCTCCATTTCAGGGGCCCACTCTCATTGGCCAGCTGCAAATGCAATGTCTGTGTCTCCACGCCTCCCAGTGTTTTCTGTCCTGCCCACTCTCTGCTGTTCATCTTCCAGCAAAGCTTGAGAAGGGCTTCCCACTCCCTCTGCCCAGGGACACCTACCTCAGCAGCTTGGAGCTCCAAGTCCACAAGGTCAGTGAGAAGTGGGCCCTGGTGGGGAGCTCTAAGAACGCGTGGGAAGGATGCTTTCGGGTTGATGGATATTAGGGGGAGTCCTTAACTCCCACTTACATCCTAGACCTAATTTTCATAGAAAAAAATGAATTTTGGAGTATAAATGGCAGGTTTTGATGATCTGAAATCTGGGCTTCATGCGAAAGGTCCTTAGCCATGTATGGCAGAATGTGCAAAGGTGTCAGATCAGATGCAATACTTTTGGCTTGAAGAAGCCCTGGATGTCCTTGGTGGAGTGAGGGTCCCCACTGGGCACTGACCAGCCCTCCTAGCCACAGCAGCAAGGGATGGTCCTGGGGAAAAACTGACCATGCCTTCTAGTGGTAGGAACTTATCAGGGCAGGGGACAGGGACCATCATAGTACAACTTATGATATAAATCCACAAGGACTAGTTTGCAATGTCTTCACTGTTCCTATGTTCTTTTTAAACTTTTTTTAAAAAAAGTATCCATCCTATTTTTTCCTCTAAGGTAATCCAGGACTACATTCTCAGAAATTATGTGAGGGGATAACTCAAGCGGCACCTGAGTATACATTATTCTCCTGGGAGAAAACATTTTGGAGGAGAGTGGTTATGGATGTCTTCCAGAAACCAGAGCTTAGGATATGCAAATAACTTCTTGGGCGCCAACAGCTGATAAGGACAGTTTTATTTTAAAATATATTTGTATTGATTTCAGAGATGGAGAAACATCAACGATGAGAGAAAATCATTTATCGGCTGCCTCCCCCACACTGGGGCTCAAGCCTGCAACCTGGGCGTGTGCCCTTGACCTGAATCGAACCTTGGACCTTTGAGTCTGCAGGCCGACACTCTATCCACTGAGCCAAACCAGTTAGGGCTAAAGACCTCCTTTTATAAAAGCTTAAGGTCTTGGTTTCTGCACTGACTGGGTTTATATTTGCTAACTTGCCTCTCCCTATGAAAGTTTCCCTTTCAGGAAGTTCCTATGCAACTCAGATAATGGCCTTTCTTGTCTGCCCTTTTGCCTTCTCCCCAGAACTTCTTGTTCGTAGGGGCCGACATCGACTAGATTGAAGACTGAGGAGCACCTGTGGCTGGAGGGGACACACCACAGCTGGACTTGCCCCGACTGCCCTGTGGAGCCCAAGTAGCTGTGACATTTCGCTTCCTCTCATGAGTGTCCCTGAGTAACACAGGCCCAGCCAGGGCCTTGGATAGGTGTTAAAGGGCAAGGCAGAAAAGGAAGCTTGGGGGCAGAGTGGAACATGTCAGTCATGAAGAACACCTGGCCCTGCAGTAGAGGCCACCGAGGTACCAAACTCAGGCAGGCTAGACAGCCTGAATTCTGCCTCAGCCCAGCCAATGTGGTTTCTACTTCAAATGCAGAAAGTGGACAATTAACTCAAGCCTTTCATCATGGTCTGTGGGACATACTCATGTACAGACCCCTCTATCTGTAAAATGGGATTAAAAAATTCATGCATGCACATCCTCACATTGTGGCAGTTTTTTATTTTAAACCAAAGATCTCCAAAAAGCCTGGCCCTGAGGACACCAGGGTGTTGTCCAACAGCAGCTGCTCCATTCACCCTGCTCCCACCTTTATTTTACACCCAGATAAGTCAACCAACTCGTCCGTTTGCCTGGGACTTACCTGATTTTAGCAATTTAAGTCCCTCGTCCTGGGAAACCCCTCAATCCCAGGCAAACTTGGACAGTTGGTCACACAGCAGGCAATTTTTTATGAGCCAAGCCCCAGAACTCCAGGACACCCCACTTTCTCTGACATCAGCATTGTCTCACTAGTCCACCCTGTCACCAGCCAAAGCCTTGGCCCGACTGCTCCTCAACACCTCAACTGTCATGGGCCCTAAATCTGAACCAAGTGCCACCCCTTGTTCACCTCCTAGTCCTAACTGAACACTTCAAACAACCACCCACGTGCCACGCCTCAGGACAGCGAGAACACGCCAGGGCTGAAAACGAGATCTGGCTCGTGACCCACGTTCTCCAGGCCCAGCCTTGCTGGCACGTGGCTTGATGCTGATTTAAAAGGCGGACAGAGCACGGTGGTCAGGTTTATTAAATGGGTGGTGGAGGAAAGTGATGAGCAGCTACAAATTCAAGAGAATTTGGCTACTAAAGTCATTCCGGGCATGGCTGAGGGACACGGGCTGGCCCTCTAAGGGTGCTGCTGTCAAGACGCAGAGCTGGTTGAAGTGGACCCCAAGCTTCCCTCTGATCTCTTGTGCGGAGTGGAGCTGTCGGTGACGCTCTGAGCGGGCAGAGGGGAGAGCTGTGGTGAGGCTTCATGTGGGGACCTGCCTCTCAATTCTCGGCCCCTCTGGTCTCCACAAACACCGAGAGAATCTAAAAGAAAGGAAAGGTGAGTCCAGTGGTTTGGAGCTCGCATCTGCATAAACACAAAACAGCTTATCCTCTAGCTATCGGTTCAAGGGCAGTAACTCACTTTGGTGAGAAATATCAGGAAACCAGCTCCCAAATCACCCGAGGGTCACTGGTCCATGGGTCCATGGCCGTGGGACTTTCTGCAACAGTCTGTGATCTAAGGCTGGCCTAGGAGGAAGCATACAAGCGTTCAGCCTCCAGGGCCATCTTCTCCCCAAGCGACGTCACCAAGAGGGCCCCGATCAGCCAGGCCCAAGCTCCCAGTGTATGCACACCAAACTAGGTAGCACCTGAACGGAAAGGGCAATAAAGGAAAACCAACTTAACATTAAAAGCCCACTTTTTATAGGAAATGATTTTCTTTCTAGTGGTTCATGATCAGGACAGCTGACCCAGATAAGAGTAACCCTCAAGAGGACAGCTCAGCCTTCTGTCAGGGGCTTTGACACAGGTCCCACGGCATCTTGAACACCATCTTCAGCGGCTCTCACATCGTACTGTTATTATTTATCTGCCTAGCTTGTCACCAGGCCCCAGCAGCAGTCATCCTCTTCTGCAAAGACCCACTTTATATGACCCAGCCAAAAAGGCAAATAAAAGATAAACTTCCAGCAAGACTTGTTAGGCACCCAGATCTTTGAAGATCAAGACTGCCCGGCCCTGCCCTGGCCAGTGTGGCTCAATTGGCTGAGCATCGTCCCATGCACTGAAAGGTCGCCAGTCCAGTGTGTGTGGCAACCAATGGATGTTTTTCTCTCTCTCAAATCAATAAAAAGATTAAAAAAAAAAAAAGACTGCCAGACCCACTGAAAGCTAAATGAGAAAACATCATCAAAGTCTGAACATATTACATAAGCGAGCCCCCACTCAGTCCACAGGTTGCTACCCCCACAGGTATGAATTACCAGGTGGGAGTGGTGGTGGTGATAAACTGTCTTTTCAAAATGGTCACCACTGTCCACTAAATCCTCCAACATGACTGAGGAGCCCCAGGCCTGGTAACCAGGCTGTGGGACAGGACAAGCCTCTGATGCAAAAAGGGGCAGAGGGCAGGTTTGGAAATCTCACGTTTATTAGATGGCTGCCTGTACCAGGTGGCTCACATGCATTATTCTCACTACCTTCGCATCATCATGAGACATATGGCAACAGACATGGCAAAACTGCATCCCATCCTCAAAGACAAGTGACATGAATGTCAACGGAAGAGAGCCTGGGAACTAGACAGGAGTCCTCAGACCTAAAGTGGGGACCGATGAGAATACCTTGACCTCACCTCCAAGTCACCTCAGCTAAGACATGCCTTTCAGGGCCACCATGTTCCATCTTCTGAGTCTACAGAGTGAAGGCAGCGCCATAGGTTTCTGCCTCCTACAGAACACACCTGCACGGACAAAAGGCAGAATGGGTGACTCCATGTCTGGGTGGCCAGTCAGCAACGCACCATTCTAACAAGAACCAGAATGCAAGCCACGGTTCGAGTCTACAAATACAGATTCCAGAGATCCACAGGCCTGAAAATGTCTCCTCTAGTAACAGCCAGGATCATCTTTTTCAAGAGAAACCACAAAAGCACAGGTTAAATGTCAGCGATAGAATAATTAGTCAATGTGCCCGACTCTCCTCCGTGACTGACAAGAAAACTCCTCAATCTTTGTATTGTGACAATACAAACTGACTCGGAATTGACAGAACCCCTCTTTGCCACTATACTTGGCCCCCAACTTTATTTTTTCCCTCCATTAATTTGATATTACTGACGGCTCCTGGAGAAGCAATATAGTCGTGCTCAAGAGTCAAGGAGCAAAAACACACAAACACCACTGGCTGTCTTGAATCATGTATTATTATGGATTATCCTACACGCCTATAAGTTTATAAAGCAGAACCCATGAATTATGCATGCCCTTCAGCACTATCTGAATTTACTCCACTGTGAGGCACAAATGTAAACACACGGACTGATTTCTGGGGAGGGGATCCTTGACTTGAAAAGACAGAGTGAAGCCCACAAATCAGAGGGTAGCCCAGGCACTATTATCACATGAGGGCAGCGAAGAGAATGGCAGGAGGAAAGAGTTAGTGTGTGAAAGTTCCAGGGTTTGGAGGGGACAGCCGGACCCTTCAAACACGGGGAAAACTCCTTTCAGCAATCCTCTCCCTGCACTACCAATGACCAGGGCACAGCAGCCCACGATCACTTTCGAATGCAGGAGCAGAAAAGGACAGTCAGGGCGGGAGGCCGGTACCAGGGGCATGGCTGAGACAGGCGAGCGGCCCAGCCGAGCAGAACCCCAACAGCTTCTGCTGCGTCCTGCAAAGACCCTCTGTACTCTGCCAGAGCCCGGACACTACCAGCATAAACAATTAGAAATGCTTTTCGGTTGGGAAAGATCGGGATCATGTGGTCATGACACCACCATGTACAAGAGTTAAAAACCTTCTCTGCTACCCCAGCTGTGATTTTCAGATGAAGAAGTAGAGGGACTAGGTCACAGCTGGATAGGTTCAGAGGTGGGACCAGAGCCTGGCGTCTAAACCTACATGCTTTCCATCACAACACCTGCTGACACTCCGGCACTTGGAAGGGCGATAACCCAGGGAACCCCTTACCCAGGCAGATTCCTAGAGGCCCCCTCTGTAGGCATGTGAAGGACTGCCCAGAGCAGGGACACAACTGTGGACTCACGGATGCCCCCTCTACCTCCCTTCCCATTACATTTTCATCCAAGTCCGAGGGAATATGCATGTGACTTTACAGATGTCAAACAACAAATTCCAGAAAATGGTCCAAAAGACTTACCTCAGGACCCCATGGTCTAGCGCCCGGCTGATATGGAGCCTGACATGAAGATGACTGCCGTCTCCCATGGCACCTCTGCACCCGCAGACCCATCTGCATGGGACAAGCCATGAATGGGCACTCGTAGCAGGCCCTGGGGCACACAGAACACGGCAGATTAGGGCACTGACAATGTGGGCTGTTACCATGAGTACCTGAATGGCCACACTGCCATCAAAGGAATAAGAACAACTTAACTCCAGGAAGGGGTCTGCAGATCGTCTGTGATCATGAGTAACATCCGTGTTATCCATGTGCCAACTGTGATCAATTTGTTGCTAACAAGTCTATGTTGAAAGGATGCCAAGCCAAGTTAAGGGAGGGTGCCATGGCTGACTGGCAGTGACTAGTAGGAATTAGGGGTGTGTGTGTAATCGGGTCGGGAAATGTCCCATGTCTACCATCTAGTTTAAGAGTTGCTTACATATATCTCCTCAACTGTACTGTGTTTGGCCCAGCTCCATTATTGTTCCCCTAACCACCCACAATGGGATGAGCCTCTTTCTGTTATTTTGCTTTGTTTTTGTCCAGTCGCTGTATGTCAGTCACTGAGCACAATGCAAAACAAGACTGAGCCACTGCCCTCAAGATCATCGCACGGCGACATGATAAACAAGCCAACACTTCCCAGGTGTGATTAGCACTAAGAGGTGGGACTGGGGATGTGGGAAGGGGTGCATGTGATGGGGAGGGAGGCACAGAAAGGTTCCAGGAGGGGGGCCCTAGGAGGGGAGCGACTATCCCTCAACCATAAACTCGGTGCGGCCGGGCAAAAGGGACTCTTCAAAGAGCCACACAGCACGAGGTACCAGGAAGTAACACAAACTGCTGGGAAGGTATGTCCGAAAGCGCCAGGGTTTGGAAGGGACATGGGTGGACCCTCCAAACACGGGGAAATGCTTTCGCAGTTCCTCTCCCTGCACTATCAATGACCAGGGCACCGGCAGCCCATGATCACTTTCGAATGCAGGGGCAGAAAAGGGCAGTGAGTGAGGCGGGAAGGGAGGCCACTGCCCGCAGCCTGAGAAACGGCTGAAGTGAGAACGGACCAGCAGACAGGTCAATGACCAGATTACAACCTAAGATTACAGAAGCCACGTCTGACTGTCAGAGATTACTTACCAAGTCCCTGCCAGAGCTGAGAGTTAAAGGGAAGATTAACAGTAGATAAACTGAGCGTCCTTGAGTTCCGGAAGACGGGGTGTGAGCGGTCCCAACACTGAACATCAGACAGCATTCCCACTCAGGCTCACAGAGAGCACCGCGGTCACACATACATCCAGGCTTGGCTCTAAAACGCAGCCCCCTGTCCATTCCAACACACTGCTTCCTCTCCGCATCACAGGAGCCTTCACCAGGGGCTCTCAGAAGAGGGCCGGGACCTGTGTCTGCTGGCCCCAGGGGTCAAACCCGGGAACACCGGGAAGCAGCCTTCGCCTGCGCCCTCACCCCCCACACCTCTGGCCTATTAGCCTGCACAGAACTTGAGCTCTAGAGAACCAGAGAGGGCGTCACTTACCTGGCATCTCATAATCCAGGATCTCCCTGAGGACATTTCTCATTCATGGGACAGCAGTCACATGACCTCCTGCAGGGGACAAGAAGCCAGCATGTGATGGGCCACTTGGCACTGCTTATATGTCCAAAAAACCATCATGCTCAACAGAAAGCCACCTGGGGAATCCAAGGGTTAGGATATGAATGCAATGACAGCCTGTCTCCCTTCAACCTCAGTCTGCTTCATGCTTGGCCACTGCCACTCACCTAAGGCAGTCCCCTTAGGAAGGGGCAAGAGTGGGTCCTCTGAGTATGAGGAAAACCTTACAGCTTTTCCTTTGCCCGCATTACAGGACACAGGCGCCCTTACTCCAAGCACAGGCAGAGAAAAGGACACAGCTGGCCAAACTGGAGACCATGGCTCCACCAGCAACCCATGCATTGCCTGAGGCAGGACCCCCTCTCATTCTCCCGTGAAGGCCTCACCCGAAACCAGCTCTGAGCCCACAGGCAATAAACCAGACACCGGGGGGCCTGGAGGCCTCTAAAAGGTGGTGGGAGGGCAGAGGTGTGTGAAAGCGCCAGGGTTTGCAAGGGACGGGTGGACCCTCCAAACACGGGGAAATGCTTTCGCAGTTCCTCTCCCTGCACTATCAATGACCAGGGCACCGGCAGCCCACGATCACTTTCGAATGCAGGGGCAGAAAAGGGCAGAATGTGAGCCGGAAAGAGGAGCCCATGTAAACGGCCAAGCCCAGGATCCTGAGCTCTATCACCACTCCGCATCGATTCCATCTCCTGTCATCAAAAGGGTCCATAGGACCCGTCCGCTTGGCTCAGTGATTGAACATCCTCACTCGAATCCGGGTCATGCACATGTCCAGGGTGCAGGCTTGATCCCCAGAGGGGAGTGTGCAGGAGGCAGCCAATTATCATTGATGTGTCTCTTCTCTCTCTCTCTCTCTCTCCCTTCCTCTCTGAAATCAATAAAAATGTATTTTAAAAAAAGAAGTAAGAAACTTAACCAAAGTTTCACAGATAAGGAGGGACTGAGTCAGGATCCGAACCTCTCTGGCCCCCAAACCCAGCCCCGTCTACACCACCAGGCCCCCGGGAAAAGAGCTTGGCAAGGCAGCTCCCGGAGCCCAGGTGCACTCCAGGATCACCCGCTCCGCCGGGGCAGGAAGGCAACAAGCCCGGAGTTCAGGGGCTCAGGGGCAGCAGCATTTACCCGGGGGGCAGCCTCACCCTCCGGCCACAGTGCGGGGACACCAGGCCCTGGAAAGACGGGGCGCTGGCTGGTGCAAAGGCCGGCCGAGGGAGGGCTGTCACGGCTTCCAAGAACCGAGCCCCTGGCCTGGGCCGGGAAGAGCAAGGGGGAGGCTTTAGTGCAGAGCGGGGACCGCACGCCAGACTCCGGGTCCTGGAGCACCCCCGAATCTAATGCTCCGCCAGCAGATCGGTAAACGGAGGTCAACACTTCCCATTAAGGTTATTAAAGGGAAAGAATTACGGTCATAAGAGCACCGTGTAGGCAACAGACGAGAGGCTCCGGGAGATTGAATGCCGGGGCCGAGAAAATCGGGGGCTTTGACGCCCCTCCGTTCTGGCCGTCAGCGGGCACTGGCCTCCCCCCGGGCGGGTGAGCGCGGGGATCGGACGCCCGCACCGGCTCCGAGGCAGCGGCGGCAGAGGGCGCGGCACCCTTTTCTTCAGGGCACGAACCCGGAGAGACCCACACCCGGCGGGAAAAACGAGCCCCGGAGTGGGACCCGGGCCCAGACTCGGAGCTGACCTCCGGCCTCGGGTTCCCGATCCTGGAAGGCGCAGACCACGCGCCCATGGCACTCCGCAGTGGGCTCACCTGGGTGCCGCGACCAACGGCTCGGGACAGCGGCGGAGAGCGCCGACACTGCGGGACGGCGTGGATGTCCGCGGATTTCGGGAGGTGGCCTGGGCCGACTGCAGACGTGAGCCACGCGACCAGGACCCTCCTCCGGATGCTCATCGTCGGCGGAAACGAGACAGGGGCGCGGGATGCGGCCCAGAGCGGCGCCTCCCCGGACAGAACCCGCGAAAGCGGTTCTATCGCCCCCTGGTGGAGCGGAGTTCAAATTCTGACTCTCGAGGGATAATTTCCCAAAGCAGTCTGAAATTAGAGAAATAACATTCTATTTGTTCTGAAGGTGTTCCTTGAAGGTGTCATTAATATGTAGAAACTAGAGGCCCAGGGCACGAATTCATGTACCAGTGGGATCCCTTGGCCTGGCCTGTGGGATCAGGCTGAAACCAGCTCTCTGACATCCCCTGAGGGGTCCCGGATTGCCAGAGGGTGCAGGCCAGGCTGAGGGAACCCCACTGATGCAGGATTGAGGCTGGGGAGGGATGCAGGAGGTTGGCCAGACGGGAAGGGACTGCGGCAGGGCTCTAGGGCATGTCCAGCCCATCTCATTCAGTCCCCATTGGCCAGACCCCAGCAGCAAGCTAACCTACCCGTCTGAGTGTGTCTGCCCCCTGGTGGCCAGGGCACATCATAGCGAGTGGTTGAGCCGCCTTAGCATATCATTAGCATATTACGCTTTGACTGGTTGAACAGCCAACTGGTCAACCGGACACTTAGCATATTAGGCTTTTATTATATAGGATGATCACTCTTCCACGTGAGGAACTTTTATTAGCAGGATCTCGTTGTTCACTGTGTTTAGTTTGGGTAATAGGAATTCGTCTGAGTGACCACTGGATTCATAGCACCAGCTTTAGTGGCTGGCACAGTTGAACAAATGAGTGAATTCTGTCCATGTATTTATTTGGCCGTCACCAGTCTAAAATATTGCCTGAGACTGGACTGTGAGGGAGCCTAGAGGGGTATGCAGGTGCTTTACTGAATCTCGTCCTAAAATTAAATGGGATAAGAGTCCTTGAAGCACAAGGGACTTGATCAGATTTGCATGTGAGGAACCTGATCAGATACGCATAGTGGCAGAGAAAGCAGAGGTCCTGTGCTCCAAACATCACACTAGACACTGGCCTGGGAAGGGGCTCATGGCTCCCAAATCTCACAAGCTCTGGCACTGCCTGCATCCCAGGCCAGGTGTACCTCTCAGTCTCGGGGCAACCCTGCCACTAACTCAGCCCACATTCTGAAGTGTAAAACAGTGCACCCCTGGCCCACAGTCAGATTCCTGGTGCTCACTATGTCAGCACAATGCAGAAGTCCAATCCAGATGTATGCAACCGAGAGAAAATGGGGTCTCTGAGCGTGAGAACACTCCATATTCAGTGTTCTGGGAGAAGTTGCTGGGATTCTAAGACTGTGAAAAATGGGGAGGGGGCCCTCTGTAATGGGGAGGGACCATGGGATGCTGTGTCTGTGAGGACACTGGGCAAAGGGGTCAGGTATACACACTTGTGGCCACTCAGCCTGCTGCCCTCTCCTGCCTCCTGCTCTTGTGCTTACTCTCCGTGCAACCTTGGCTAAGTGACCTAACTTCCCTACCTAGCCTTAGTTTTCCTTTTCTGAAAGATGGGCAGAATCAGAGCTCCATCCTCATAGTGTTGCTGTGAAAATTAAGGGAAATGATTCATATGAAGAGCATACCACAGAGAACATGGCGAAGGCATGGTAGTTGCAATACTTTAGTACTTCTGAGAAAGCTGAGGGCTTCTGTCACTGTGAGGACCCTGTGGGATTATTTTTGAGGCAGAGCAAGTGTGCTGTTTGAAACGTCTAGTGGGCCAGACTTGACATTTAAAATAATCGAATGGAAACTGTGTTCCCTATTTTTAGTGCTTATAAGACTTACTGCCTAAGAATGGTCAGAAAAGCTATGAGGTCTGCCTGATATTTCTCTAGGGACAGGAGAAAGATACTTCTACTTAGAAAGTCTAAAGAGGCTGGCAAAAAAAAATTATGATTACATACGAGGAGTCCTGTTTTCAACATACTGGTTGCATCAATAATGGATTGGGCTGTAGCTCTGAGGCCAACGTTCCACCAATCTAGAATGTGTGACCTCACAGTAGCTGAGAGAGCACCTTCCCTTGGGGGAAATGAGACTGTTGGCTGGGCAGATTCTTCCAAGAAGTTGATGCCCAGGGTCAAGGCTGGAAGTCAGCAACTGGCCCTGTGAGGCGGGCAGGCGCTCCAGGCTCCACCCCCACACTAAGAATGATCAGCATGCTGGAGACCTCACTGTACCTGTTCATCCTCCTCCTTGCCTTCTTACTGCTCCTCTGTTACTGCATCTTTCGGAGGCAATAGGCTCCGGCTCCTGCAGTTTGGAACTGAGGCCTAGTAGAAGCCTTGACCATTCCAGCCCCCTGGGGTTTCTCAGGCAGGTCGGGCTCTCCCTGAGCTGCCTCATGCCAGGGATCTTGGCCTGTTTTGGAGTCTCCAACAGCCCTGAGCTCTCTCTGAATGCTCTGACAGACTGAGATGAGACAGAGGGTCTTTCCACCAGGGTCTCAGCACCTCCTTCTCCCTGAGTCCCCTACTTGGGTCCTCCAACCCCACAGCCTCTCTCTCTCTCTCTCTAGTTTTGCTTCTGGCTCATTAAAGGTCACTGGTTTTGAAGAAGGGGCCAATGTGGGCTCAGTAATGATATAAATGACTCAGGCAGCCTCTGCCATGTGGACAGGCATGAGAAGCTGTGGTCCTCGTCCTTCAGAAACTGGCAGGGATATGCCCTGGGGAATGGAGTCCTAGATAAAGACATAAACTCAGCAACGAGATTGGAATTTCCTTCTATCCATGGTGGGCGACCCTTGCAAACAACTTGCTTGACTAATAAATCTGGATGATTAATTAACTTGGGCTTCCTTGAACAATGATTTTTGACCTTCCTTGCTAACTAAATCACTGAGATATTTGTGGCTAATTCCTTAAACTGCCTGGCTTGAGAATTGTTAACTTTCTTGCCTGAGTACTTGGGTATTTCAGGACAATGATACATGACTTTGGCTCATTATCTTTCACCACCGCTAGCTGACCACATCAGCTCTTCACTCTGAAGACCTTGGGTTTCTGCCCTGGCTGGGTGATTCAGGTGGCTGGAACATTGGCCTGTATACCAAAATGCTGTAGGTTCATTTCCTGGTCGGAGTACATACTTAGGATGTGGGTTTGATCCCCAGTCAGACTCATACAAGAGGCAACTGATCGATGTTTCTCTCCCCCCCTCTCCCTTCCTCTCTCTAGCGAGGATTAAAAAAAAAATGGAAAAAAAAAAAGACCTTGGAGTTTCCTGGCCAAGGACATTAAACATCCTTGGCTATTTTTCTGGGACTTCCAGGATAAAAATAGAAGACTGCTTCTATGATTTTACCATTATGTATGATGTTGGCTGATGTTTACAACGTTTATTCTATTTCTAAAATTTTAAGAATTTTTAGATATTAGTTTTTATAAAGTGATAATGATGATGATAACTAAAACTAATTAAACTAGCTTACTATAAACAATTATTAAAAACCACTTATGAGCCCTAACCGGTTTGGCTCAGTGGATAGAGCATCGGCCTGCGGACTCAAGGGGCCCAGGTTCGATTCAGGTCAACGGCATGTACCTTGGCTGCGGGCACATCCCCAGTAGGGGGCGTGCAGGAGGCAGCTGATCAATGTTTCTCTCTCATCGATGTTTCTAACTCTATCCCTCTCCCTTCCTCTCTGTAAAAAAAATCAGTAAAATATATTTTTTAAAAAAACAAAAACAAAACACTTATGATACTGCATTTCAATGTATTATTCTACCTATTTTTAAATTGTGATAAAATCCACATAAATGTAAACCTTACCATCTTGACCATTTTAAATACTCAGTTCAGAAATGTCAAGTACATTCACATTGTTGTGCAACCACCACCACCATCCATCTCCAGAACTCTCTTCATCCTGCAAAACTGAAACCTTGTACCCATTCAACAAAGAAGACAGACGTGGTCTCTGACTTTGTTGGTTGTAGTCTAGTGGGGATAATAAACAAATGAGCCAGCAAATGTAGTAATTAAAAATCATGACAGGTTCTACAGGAAAAGCGGGGCACTGATGTAAAATCAATGAAACAAGCACAGAAACTAAAATGGATTAAAATGAGTAAAACCATATTCAGAGCAGCCCTCCCCATACTCAAGAATAAAAGGATGTTTGAGCCTTGGCACATCCTTTTGCCATGGTAAAGGGATGGCCCTTGAAAGAATGATTATTAACTTTGGGTCTTCAGCAGAACATTCTGAGCTGGGAGTGGAGGTTCAAGGGAAGTACCCTTATTATTTCTCACCCTTGAGGCCTCTTTCCCATACATATAATGAAAGCAAGTTTGAAACCAATGTAGTCTCCCCAACATCTCTCACTTTCAGTCAGGAAGAAAAGAGAAGGTGTGAGGTAGGGGAAGAAAAAAGGCAACAGAAGGTGAAATAAAGACTGATAACATCACTATTTTGAACTAATAGATCCTGCTTAGGTGACTTTTCATGGATTAGTAGAAGCTTTAAATTCCTACCTGGCCTAGTTACTGTCAGGCCTCCACTTAGCCATGGCCTCAAAGGGAGCCCCCAGGCATGAAAGGGTGTGTAGGATACAGAAATAAGGGGTGAGGAGTAGAGTGGAGAATCTATCAGAATGACTGGAAGGCTAGGGATTCTCTAATGCCCAGTGGGGATAGAGGAGGCCTTGCCTTTGAGTCATCTCTGTGGAGTCCTGAGTTATAAATCTAGGACCTGGATCCCTAGTAGCCCATAGATA